CCCGTCCAGAGGTTGTCACACTGGAAATCTAACGAGCATTCATGCTCCTTTAAAGACCGAAGATCTATGATCATTTCCGCTTTCAGCTCAGGCACCACCAGGGCTTCGACTTCATCGTCGATTGACCCTAGCTCCAAGTTAGCCGTCACCCATCCCTCGACTCCCACTTGCCTTCCATCCGCTGTTTCTAGTGTCCCTTTGTAGGGCCGTAACGGTGGGACTGTAGTCAAATTATGGTTCACCTTGCTTCGTATTAGGTTGATCGTAGCTCCCGTATCCACTAGTGCTTTTACCGGTAGCCCGCCCAAAATCGCTTCCGCTATTAGCCCGAATGGTGCTTCAGGCACTCGGCAAACACTCACGAATTCCAAGGAACTCTCTGTCTGACACTGGATACTCGTGAGTTGTTTAGGTTCTTCCAGTCGACTGGGGGTCGTTTGGTGGAATAAAGTCTGAAGCTGCTCTGTTCCTCGAAAGCCTTCGCCTCTCATTTGCACCTGAGGGCTCGTCGTGGGGTCCAAGCGGTACATAGAGGGGTTGGAAGTGGGGGATGGTTGATTTACTCGCTGTTGATTCTTTATCTAGGCCGGGACAAAACCTCCCTGATGCATATTCAATGCCCCGGCCCTTGGTAGTTTAAATGATCCAAATTCTTCTGGGGGCACTCCTTCGCAAAATGACCCAGCTGGCCGCAGCCAAAACAGTTCCCACAGGGTATCTGGTTTTTCATTCCGTAACGACCTCCAAGGCCAGGAGATAAGTTCGATCTATTCTCGCCGGGTTGGGGTTCGTATAGTTGTCGGGGTCGTTGGGAAGGTTCCGACCGCGGTAAGTTTTCCGGGTGGGGGACGGGGATGATAGAATTAATAAACCTACCCATCATGGCCGTCATGTTCTGCTTCTGAGCTAACAGATCATTCTGGACACTCACCAGTTGGTCGATGCGGGGGTCATTGCTCGCCTGCTGACGTCCCTGACTAGCTCCCACGGGTTGGTTTCGAGGGATCTGTCCGCCTACACTCCGACCAGCCTCAGCACCCGGCTCTGGGACATTTTCGGCAACCCTTGCAAGGTGCATCTTTCTCCGGTTCCGGGCCCTGGACGTTTTATTCACAAGATCCAAGGCTTGGGCGCGGGCAACTGCTTGCGCTAGGCTTCCTAGATCTTCTCGCAGAAGTAGGTCTTGAAGGTCCACGTCAAATAGCCCGTCTATGAACTGTTCTCGGTTCATATCGTCTCGAGCTTGAGCTCCCACATTTCCATTAGCAACATCTCCAAGTGATCGGATTCGCCGAGAGAATTCCCTCAAGCCCTCCTTGTCTCCTTGCATCAGACTTTTGAACTTCGCCCTAGCCGCTGCTTGAGTTTGGAAGGGCATCATACGCTGGTCTATTTCGGCCAGCATCCGTGCAAGTGTTGGCGCTGGAAACCGTCTTCCTCCTCTCTGAAGTGGCCTGGTATGCTGGTAAATTCATCCAGAGCCCATCCTGCCAGACACGTAGGCAACACCATCCGAGCCTGTTCATCTTCCCATCTGTTAGCATCCGCAACCCAGGCGAAATGCTTCCTCCAGTCGGCCCAGTTCTGATAGCTACTGGAGGGAAACCGATCGGGCGAATGGTGCCAAAGCCAAAGACTCCTTGCTGCCTGTCCAAAGCATTCGCTGCCGCCACAGCAGCCTCTGGCAATGCAGCTCTATCGTCGTCGTTCATCATCGTGTTTGCTCACGGGATGGTTGTTTGTTCGTTTGCAACTTCAGTCTAGGACAATGCCCACCCAGGAGCGCCAATGTCGTCTTTAGGATTTCTACACACGGTCTTGCGAAGCTATCCCTTTTACCGTGCTAAAGCAGGGGCACTAAGGCTCTGTATTAACGACAATCCCGAAAGGGTTATGTTAGTAGTGAGTTGTCCTCTACTGTATTCTATTGCTCTCCCTTGGTCAGTGATGCTCTTGCTCGCTATATCTCGCTTGAAGTCGCGTACAACTAATTCTTTTTTTTGCAAATGAATTCAATATATATATAAGTCTGAACACAAAGGGCCTACTAGTTCGGCCACATTTTAATATATTAAAATACAACAGAATTGTTTGCGATCTGTACACGCTTAACAATTTCTTGTGCGTACTCGGTCAGTACACGCGTCGACTAAGCTCTCTGACTTTCTGCTAGCTTCTACTCTAACTAATATTCCACAAGGCGTTTCGTCTTGCGTTCTTACTTCACTCGCTGTGAAACAATTAACTGATAAGTTCAGATAGCGACCACAACTGGGACCTCCTGAATCTTACGTTCGTTAACTCGGTCTCCCTTCAAAGTCCGCTCTCGAACCTCCACTTCTTATCTATATTTGCGCTCCGTTTTTGTTAAAGTGACGCCACTTCATATCAATGTTGTCATCCCCTTAAGCACAACCGCCCCCTATGGTTTTCCCTTTTACCTACTCCCTCTGTCAAAGCTGACGGGTTCCAAGTCCGGGGTTTTTATCGACTTGTTCACGTTTCGTAAAAACATCCCCCTGCGGTTGTTATCGTAAATCGGGTAGGTAACCGAAGTCGTATGATTCTTATCAGTTAAATCCCCCTTACGCTACTTACTTAAATACCAGCTGACTTCGGTGTCAAATCTTGATCCAAGCAACAAAGTCGTGCGATCCCAATAAACTAATCATAACCCGATTTTGAACCAAAATTACTAATATTTTCCCTATCATGTTAGGATAAAATACACGGTCGGGGATAAGTTTTGCTTTTATACTCGGTAGTACCCCCATGACCTAATTTACCCTAGGCACATAGTTCCGTGCATGTACAATCCCATAGCAGTTAGCTACCTACAGGTATAAACCCGTTTTCCATTTTCTTAATCCCAGCCAGAGTTAGAGGGGGAAATGTCCGGGTAAAAGTGCATTTTTCTTCGATTTTATTTCTACTACGTTATTTAGCTTTAAGTCCACTTTTCAATCTTTCTATTTTGTTTACCCTTAGCTAACAGCCATCCAATTAACCTATTTAGACCTCATAACGAGAAATGAAATACCTAAACTTAAACCAAGGTAACGATACCCAAGCAAAAAATACGCTAATTCGAAAATTTGCTAGAATTACCAATTCTACAGTCTTCCCTTCTAGTCTATTATTCTCCCGAATAATGTTAGGTTTTTCTCTCTCCCCTTTTTTTACCATTAAATACTGAACTACTGACTATATACAATCTATACTTTATTTAGGTGTAAGCTATAGTTAAGTTTAAGTTTAAGCTATAAGATGAGTTGAGAAGAGTTGGTGGAATCCATTAAAAACATCCTTAAATTTTAATTTAGCACTTTAATGCTGTTATTCAACTTATCGCGATAAAACCATTTTTCCACAGTTTTTGAGATCCCTGCACACTAGAATACCTCGATGAACCATTAAGCTAACTTCAGGACAATCAATGATCTTTCCTTTCTTATTGTTCCGACTTTCGTAACAAAAGTAATTGCTCCAACTTTCGTAACGGAATATTTGTGCTCGGGGTGGGTTTTTTTCTTCAGACAAATTTCGACTTTTCAACTAGCCATTTCTGACGTTTTTTTTTCAATATCATTCAAGAAGTAATGTTGTCCTGAGCTTAAATTTGAAAAGATATTTTACCTGTGATCAATTTTTGTAAAGTTATGGGGGTTTAAAGGTTGCCATTTTGGCCAATTTGGGACAATTAACGCGCGATATATTTCGCGCTACTAACGCTTAAACGGAGATTCAATCCGTCTTGGAAATCGCTCCAAATTAGTTGATGGAAGCTTATTGGCCATAATTGATTTTTTTAAAGGAGCGAAGTCTCTACTTTTGTACTTTATATGGCGAGTGGGGTGACGATTTTCACAAAAAATCTCAAATTTTACAAAAAAAATGTTTCATTTTATTTTATTACGTGTATTTTTTTAATGTTATTACTGCTTCATAGACCCTAAAAGGCATTCGAATCATTCAGGGCTTCGCCCTGACACGAGCAGTCTTATTTTTTTATATGGGGTTCTCGCATTATTAATAATCAGAATCTTTTTTTTCTAAAATAACTACCCGTACCCAGCTGATTTTTTTTTTTTTTACAAAATCTGAAATTCTTTATTTCTTACACTAGTTGATCCTCAGATCTGAAAATCTTGCTTTTATATTTGGATAAAAAATTGAAAATTTCAGATCTGAAATTTGGATCTGAAATAGAAAACTTCAGATCTGAAATAAACTCGAAAAACAAATTTTCCGATCTGAAATTAGATCTGAGAAACCTTTTGTTAAATTATAATTTATGCATTTCGAGCAAATAATTGAATTTTTAATTTTTGATCTTTCTGCAATTCACAATTATGTTAATTTTAACTAGCGGTAGAAAAACAATCCGAATAATTTCACAAACAATTTTTTTAACTAAATTTCTTGTTCACCTGTGATAAAAAAAATTTCAAAATCTCTTAGAAGACCTATCAATATTTCGCCTTTCATGCGCTACTTATGCGTTTCCAATATTTAGCTCATGCTTGGGGAACATATTTTGGCAGTCTCCCACTGGAGATTTTGCTGAATATATGCTAGTAGCTAGCAGAAGCTATCAAATACAAAAGTAACAAAAATAGCAAAAATTGTGTCAAAATCATTGATTTTTCAGATCTGAAATACCCAAGAGAAACTAAATTTCAGATCTGAAAATAGCTATGAAATAAACCATTTCGAAAATAACTACCCGAAACCAGGGGAATTTCTTCTCGGGTCTGAAATTCGTTATTTGAAAATTTCAGATCTGAAAGTCAGATCTGAAATAAAAATTGTCAGATCTGAAATAACCTTGATAAACAAAACTTCAGATCTGAAGTTAGATCTAAAATAACCCATTCTTAAAGTATGCAAGCATTATTTTAATATTGAAATATTCACTAGGCACCGGGTAGTTCAGTTGCTTTAGATTCCGATAGGTTCTATAGATTTCTATAAATGATAATTCATTTAAATTTTTATAGATTCCAACTGAGTTGGTGACAGATTGGCTGGATTGGGAAGCACTTCGTTCTCTCAAAGTTACGCCACGACCTCCTGATAATCTTCACACTTACTTCGTGGAAAAAGTGTTGTGCCACAACAACACAGCTGCAGAACTGAAGGATCGAGATCTGAAAGGAGTGTTGATACGAGGTCCACGGTGTAAATCTGAAAAACAAATTGCCGGTGACGTTTCAAAAAATACCTTTTGCTTTTTTTGACCTAAGCTTTGCTTTTTTTGACCTAAGCTTGCTTTTTTTGACCTAAGCTTTGTCGTGAATGGACACAAAATAACAACTTGCTGCTAAAATACCCTTTCCTCTGGGATTTAATCCCTAGCTACTTAAAGAGTCCCGTTCTCTTTTGAACCGTGGTATCCCGTTTGACTTGTGACACTACATTGCATTATTATTTTTTCCGAGCAACCAAAAAGATGGCTAAAAGTTCCAAGCCAACAAAGAACTCCATGCGTTTTTTTGAAGAGTGTTCAGTTTTCAGTTTATTTAGTGGTTTTTTAGTGTTTTATGTGTGTGGTACTGTGCTAGCAATTACCTTGAGTTGTATAGCTATATAAAAAAGTTTATTTTCTATTTTCTTTATGTCAAGGTCACTAAAGACTAAATTGTACGTAAACATCATGTACGTAAACGTACACAAGATTAGAGTGCGTTTACCAAGGCTTGCAAAAGGCTGCGGAAAAGATAAACGATCAGAACTGAATTCAAGTATATCTGGTTACTTGTAGATTTACGTATAGGAGAGCTCATTAGAGCATCACATGGCGCAGACAGCCGTCAGGATACTGGTATTTTGAATGTCAGCGAATTTACATCCAACATGGCACAAGTTCAAAATCTGGTTGGAGCATTTTTTTGATGGCGGTCACAGTCATGGAAAACGTTAGCCCAGAATTACTTCTTGAGAATCCGAAGGAAGTTTTGTAGGAACTGCCTCCGAGATCTGAATTCCCGAGGGAAGATGAAAATGCTGGGACAGCAAAAGAATTACGAGGCAAATTGTCCTAGACAGAGTGCTGCAAGAGAATGAAGAACGAAGAACCAGAGGCCTGAGATTCGAACATAACATCTACTACAATGAAGTTCAGATATCAAGACAAGTTTTGATATCAAGACAATCCTCATTTCTTGAAACTGAAGATGAGGCTTTATTCGTGCAAAAAATATCCGCACGTTAAGGTAACAAACTTGAAATTTAGGCAATTGAAAAACAGGGGGAAACACAAGAAGCCTTGCACCCTGCATTACCTTTGCAAGCAGTCCGGTCGGAGTTAGATACCTTAAAAAACGAGATAGCGCGAGATCTGTTCTTTTTTTCAAGATGAGAAACATTTCACTCCAAAACATTACACCTGCGGGAGCTGCAAAGGCTTAGAATGCGGGTATGAGAATAAAACCGGAACCAATACGGGCAGTAAAAAATTCAAAAGGAAGAAATAGGAAACCATCAAACTGAATTAAAACAAATATCAAAAAAATATGATTCCAATCATGAAGAAAAAACCGTGTAACAGATATGGGCGGTAGAGATTTTATCGAAAGACTTTTGAAAAGTTTCCCAGCGATAAGGAAGATATGAAGAAAAAGTTGCAGCAAACAAAATTACTCTGAGAAAATTTTAAGAGCAAAAAAGCGAGGTAACAGAAGATTTGGTTAGATCAGAGAAAGAATGTAACTTGATTGTTGAAAACTTTGGTTCCTGTGACGTGTTTGAGAATAGGGAAGTCTGAACAGATATCTCAGCCTGAGAAGTAATCTCAAAGTACGTTCAAGAGAACATTTGCAAACACACCGCAAACCAATCAAAGAAAAGAAAGGTTGTAACAAAGACAATTGGTCTGCAACGAGACCCGAGTTCAAACAAAATGAAGTCGCTGAAGGTACTAAATTGATTAGAAAAACACACGTACTGCCAAGTTTCATTTCTCAATTGGTCGACAACAGAAACGATCATCGATAACTCCCGAGCACCAAAGCTTGTATCAGCGGAAAAGCTAAGTTTGGAAGCACAGTGTGTCGATTACAATAAACAACCGTTTCCTATTCTGGGATCCCCAGAAAGCAACTAAAGGCATAGAGGTGAAAGAAGCAACTTACCTGTTCACAGAAGGAAGAAACAGATGCATAATGGGACTAGACTTGCAGGGCCAAGTGCGTACTACTAACATACGACGATCAGCCCCAAAGGAATTCTCCAGTTATGACGTGGTACTTAAAAGGTTAGAATTTTTTTTATAATTATTTGAACGACAATGAGTTTCAAAAAGTATATAGTAATTTCATATTTCCTTTATCCTTTTGCCCGATTCCAGAAAGTGTGAGGAGAATTTACAATAAATTTTAAGCTGAAAAAGCTGTTACTGGAGGGGGACATTGAGAAACTAGACACGTGTACCAGTGACTGTTTGATCAAACCGGTTGTGATAAAACAACAGAACGAGGGTGCGATCAATTCAAAAAAGCATTAGATGCAAAACCAATTACCAGACAATTTCTTTAAAACAAATATTAAATGCCGAATATTGGCGAACTGCTAGACGGTGTGAGCCAAACTGCAACTGAACAGAGGACGAATAAACCATACTTTACGGTCCTGGACTTTAAAATTAGTTAGTATAATCAGTTAAAATTAGGTGAAAACACAGCAACCAAAACAACTTCAATATAATAGGAAGCATTACTACGGAAGCCTAGACAATTTTAACGTTTTTTTTGGGTTAGCGGGCCTAACGGCTGAATTCCAAAAAGCAATGAACAGAAAACTCAGTCATGCAAAAAAAAACATTTAATTTTTAAATGATATTGTACTTGTGTTAAATAAGGGGGAATTGGAGCATGAACAATCAGTAAGCAAAGCTATAAAAAAATCTAGATGAAAAAAATTTAGCATTTAATGTTTCGAATTGCTAATTCTTTTTTAGAAACGAAGTAGATTATTTGGGTTTGTGAGAAAATAGATTGATTTATCATTCTCTGCTGTCGCGAGTTACACCAAAGCTCACAAAACCCGAAGCAATGTTAAAATTGAGACTAAAATACCAAAGTAGCATACTTTTAGGTAGCATAAATTAAATCTTCTTTCTAGGTTCATAACAAACTCCGCAATTTAACGGAAAACTAAGAGAAGTAATTTAAAAGCAAAAATTAAAAAAATATGAAACTGCCGTTAAAAAATCAGCTTGAGAGATGAACACATAAGTATCTCCAAAAACATTAAATTAGCAGTTGCTAACAACTCTAGCAGCTCAAGAGTACGATTCGAAGTTCAAGATTACGATTCGAAAAGGAAACACGCTATAATGGACTAGAAGCCATTTTAGAACAAGAAACAGAGGAGGAATGGGTACCAATGTTATTCGCTTCTAGAAAACTATACGCCTAAAACACAAGTATAAGACGAACGAATTAGAGCTTCTAACGGCTGTTTGAGCAGCAGATTTGTGTAAATTTCACCTACTGGGAACGGAGTTTATCATCGCATTTGACCATAAAGCGTTAACCTTGGACCTGGATAGGAATAGGTTACCTAGTACATTTCCATTTATATGTACACCTTGAGTAGATAAATTGGTACCCTAGCAGTTTAAAGTAGTTCACATTTCGGGGGAGGATGTGGAGATAGCAGGTTATCTATCCAGGGAACCAAACGGGGACCCATGGTCCGAATCTGATAAAGATAAAAACGACTAGTTACGGCATTGAAGTAATAAACACATCATCAAACGGTTGCTATAGCAACCAAACTGTTCAAAAACGAATATAGCTCAAACGGAAAAAAATTGACTTTCGGGACCGTCAAAACTGGAAAAGAACAGCAATTTGATGCAAATAAACCAGCTTCACTAATTTTTAACTTAGAAATCAGCTGTCAACAAATCTCGAAAAAAGAAAAGAAACAATCGATTAGTCAAAGAACGAGCCTAATGGATCCACGCCGCCACAGATACAAAAACAAGGCAAATGATGTCTCTAAGGAAAGTATCGAAAAAAATCGAAAAGTTTTCAGAATGAGTTACTTGACTCGGAAGGATAATTTCGGACTGTCAGAGCAGCTGGGGGAAGAAGGCTTTCAAATCGTGCGGAGCTTATTTTTGAATACGCGTGGATGAACAGAGTTGAAAGAGTGGAGGATAGAGTCAATAAACAGGGGTTTGAACTCATGGGACCTTACAACAACCCGCTCTGGAACCAGTTGACAGTCGTTGACTACTGCATTGTAGTCGACAACCGTCTGGTTGTCGTAGTACTACTTTGTCCCGCTAACATGAAGATGATACACAGAAGGCACGCATGCCGAGAAAAAATTTTGACTGTAACGCGACACCTGTGTTGGCCCCACATGCACAAGGATATAGTAAGTCTTGCAGAGGAATATCGTAGCTCACGCTGCCGAACCAAGAAATAAATTTAGATTATGCGAGGCAGACAAAAATCATAAGGGAAAGAAAACATACTCACTTGTAGCAATAGACCGTTTTTCAAAGGTTTTATCGGTGGTAGACAATAGGTCAATTAGTGGAAAAGCAACAGCGAAGTATCTATTAACGTTTTTTGCCGAGTACTCGGGGGACCGCAGAGGGTGTGGACTCGTTGAACCTACATTTCAAAGAAAAATCGAACTCTTGGAGTGATGCTACTCAACGCAATAAAAATTCGATCAAGTATTGTGTCAGAACGATCATTCACAATCTTAGGCGGAACAAATAAAAAAATTCAAAAATTGCCGTTCCAAGCACACTTTAAGAGACAAGCAAAAAACGACTTTAAAGTAATAGGGACAAACTTATAAATAACTCTGGTAGTTTAAGAAAAAAAACAAATAATGATCCTCCCTGACGGCAACACAGCTGAAAAGATGAATTGACCAGTCAGAAGAGATTCTCAAAATTTTCAGAAAGGAGACATCGAGTCTGGACACAAGCCCTATGTTCAAGCAACAACTTTCCACAGCGAGGGAAAGTACGAATGAAACAACCCAAGAAGTTGCAAAATGGAATGAGGAACGACACAAAATGATACCAAACGTTTAGTTAATCTCGCAGAACAATCAAATCCCAAGCTAAAAAGAGAGCTGATGTACTCCTGGGAGAGAGCGTTTATTCAAAAAAGAAGGAAAACACCAAAACTCTGCTAAAAATACCACACTCAAGAAATATGAGAATTTAAAAA